TTATGTTTAACATGCCAGCTGAATAAGAGCTGGCATGAGTGTGTGAATTGCACCTCCAGCTTGAAGCACCAACACACCCACAGAATGGGCCAAACTCAGCCTCTCCCATACCAAAAGTTTTTAGCCCTGATGCAATAGTCTACGTGTCCAGAGAGGCTTGAAACAATCTTCTCTGCTTCAGGAACTATTTATTTACCAACATAATGTGTAGTTGAGTTGTGATGCTTGAACTCCTGCTCCCCTGCCTAAGTCAAACTCTCTCTCAAAGAAATATCATCAATCATCAGCTGGGAGAGGAACTATAAGAAGCCAGTACAAAGAAACAAGATACTCCCTTTTGCCGTGCCTAGCACAAAGTAGGGTACAATTAGAGGGAGATGCAAGAAACCTTGGCTAATATGTCCCAGATGAATATCCAAGATATATTATTAGCCTGATAAGATGTATTCAGGAGCCAAAATGTCTTAATTACAACTCTAGAATTCAATAGATCTGATGATGTATTGTTTAGATTACAAATTTGCAAGTACTTTCGTCCCTCTGTGTATGAAATGTAACCTTGGAAAAGGTGACTTCATTCCCTGCCCTTGGATTGGTAAGACTTTCCTTTGGGAGTGTATCCAATACTCTGAGAAGATGAATATAACCTGATCCAGACTTGGCCAAGCTGGGATATGCTCCAGCTATGACGACATTGAATAATATTGCAATTAAAAAAAAAAAGTGTATTTACTACTGGTGAAAGGTGCTGGACGGGAGCCTGAAACCCCCAATTTATCTACTGAACAGAAACACCCCTGGCCCATGTGCCTCATCCCAGATACAGAGAGATCACCTTTAAGAGTGGGAGATGGGAGAAAGGTCTATTTTCTTGGCCTCCCTTTTCAACCTGATGAGAAAAAGGACAACTAGCATACCCCGTGATGGTGCTGTTGTCCCCTGTCAACCCTAGCAGTTAGTCAAAGTTTGGGGCCCTGTGGTTTTCCAGTTCACCATAGAAGTTTGTTATAATCAGGTGTTTAGTCCTGTGTAGGAACAAAGAAGGAATCAAAGAGCAGGAAAAGCTGTGACAGACCCATGGTACAATCCAGACTAATGAGTAGCTGTATCACCCCTGCCCTCTAACCTAGGGGGCCATTTACAATGCTTTGGTGCTGTAGCCTCCAGTCTAGACTGCGCACAAACAGCCTCCAGCATGTGAGTCAATCCCAGCTATGTTTGTGTGTGTGTGTGTGCTCCAGCCAGCCACACCTTGGCTCTCACCAGCCTTGGTTATCCTTCAGGGTGACCCCAAAGCATTCCCAGGCTTAGATTTCCTCTCACAAATGTGTCTTGTATTGCCCAGCCCTCTCCTAGACAATACAAACTCATGTAGCGTCTGTATTTGTTTAAAAGAAATAATAGGTACACATCTTATTACCATAAATGGAGTTTCACAAACACTTCAATTTAAACACACTGACATCGGTAAAACAAGTTTATTAACTACAAAGAGATAGATTTTAAGTGAGTAAGAGTAATGATGCATCAAGTCAGAAATGGTTATAAGAACAATAAAGATAAAATGCAACTCATGTCTAACGAACTGTTAACTTCAGAGCAGTTTTTTCACCACATGTTCTCAGCAATCTTACTGACCAAACTTCTTAGCTCAAGACCCCTTCTCCAGTTCAATGGCTTTTTCCTTTGTCCCTCCTGGTGCAGTGAATCAATGGGCAGAGAGAGAGGGAGATGGGGTGCCTTGGGGTGTTTGTCCCTCCTTTTTATAGTGTTGGTCCTCTCCTAGGAAAACTTTCCAGATGAGATTCAAGAGACAGACCATAGGAAGGAATGTTCCCTGCTACATTTTCTTCACCTGTTGGAGCTTCTTTTGTTTCCCTTCCTGCTTGATGATTGTTTGCTGCTTAAATGCAAATTAAGCAGCGCACACATTCCTTTGTTTGAGACCCACCTGTTTGTCAACCTCAGTTTGGAACATGTGTGAAGATCACCATATAGTGGAATCTTATAACTTCACATATGTTGTTGCTACACATTTTATCTGGACAGTATTGACTAGCAAATTATGAGTTTTCAAATGATGTCTCATAAAGGCACACTTCGTACAAAAATTCTTGCAATAGTGTGTAGGGTATGGAAACAGGTACATTGTGTTGTAACAGCTTCTCTTGTTCACAGCACTACAAGCACTCTTTTAGCCTACACCTCTGACCCAAACACCTCTCCCCAGGTTTCTTCCAGGAGCAGCCACTCTGCGTTCAGCTAATGTGAATTAGGCATTGAAGTTCAATAGTTGTTAACATAAGGCATTATAAATTAAAAGTAAAAATCTCTTCTGCTCTCAGATGCTCAACTTTCACTCTCGGCCCTTTTGATGTTATACTTTTACTAGTCCTCTGATCCTCATGGGCCTTTTCTTTATTAGCAAATTTAATAGTCGTCATGATTCACACCCAGTGCAGATTATATGATACAATGGTGAAAACAATTAAGCTTGCTGGGAGGGGAGGGAGAACTGGGGGGAGAGGAGTTTGGGGCTACAGAGAGTGGAGGGGGATTAATGGGAATGGGGGG